TGGGTAGGTGGTTGGAGTGGCTAGTTCGGTAGGTGGTTGGAGCGGTTTGGTCAGTAGGTGCTCGGAGTGGCTCGGTTGGTAGGTGTTTCGAGTCGCTCAGTCGGTAGGTGCTTCGAGAGACTCGGCCGGTAGGTGCTTGGACTTGCTCGGCCGGTAGATGCTTGGACTGGCTCGGTCAGTAGGTGCTTGGAGTGAATCGGTGGGTAGGTGCTTGGAGTGGCTTGGTCTGTAGGTGCTTGGACTAGCTCGGTCGGTAGGTGCTTGGAGTGGCTCGGTCGGTAGGTGCTTGGAGTGGCTCAGTCAGTAGGTGCTTGGAGTGGCTCGGTGCTTGGAGTTCCTCGGTCGGTATTGGTGCTTGGTGTCCTCGGTCGGTAGGTGCTTGGACTGGCGCGATGGATAGGCGCTTGGAGTAGCTCGGTTGGTAGGTGCTTGGAGTGGCTTGGTCGGTATAGGTGCTTCGAGTGGCTCGGTCAGTATAGGTGGTTGGTGTGGTTCGGGTGGTATAGGCAAACACTCGGAGCGTGGAGGGTTGCCTGGACGTGCCCAACTGTAAAGGGCCCAGGCCCGTAACAGCAAAGGTGGGCCTGGGCGCAGACACTGGGGCCCGACTGGAAGCTACGGGAAACTCATCCAGCCAGGCCCACGCAGCCAGACACAGGGCTGCACTTTCCATAAAGGAAAGTGCCCTGGCCGGGCAGGGGCATTCTGGCCTGAGCAGGCAATGCAGGCACGCTGCTGCTATGCCATGCGAAGAAGCGCTCAGCAGGCAGGCCAGGGCGCACACAGGTGCAAGAGGTGAGAGGGTGCTGCGGTGGCAGCGGGCGCACGGCGGCCATAGCCGGGCCGAGCGTGCGGGGGCAGGTAATGGCGATGGTGGTCTTCAGGTAGGAGGCGCAGGCAGAGGGGAGACAAGGTGGGATGAGGGCAGGAGAGATAACATACCTGGTGTATGCTGGCGGTCTGCATTGGTGATGCCGCCACTTACATTGGTCTTCAACTTCAATGTGATCCAGGTACATGAACGTAGATAGGGGTAGATAGGCTGAGTAGTATAGGGTGGGCGCTGGGCGCCAGACAGTAGGAGCGACATTGGATACCGTGTTGTTATGGCCAGAGAGCATAGACATTGACATACGAGTTCATTCAACTTCATTGTTTTGCTCTTATTTTCATGGTATCTTGGTGCATTGTGCTGTCTGCTTGGTACATGACTATCTGGACTACTTCGTGATTTTGCAACTTGGATTTCTATCTATTGCTCTTGCTTATATTTCTCGCAAACATAGTCTAGTTAAAAAAAAAAAAAAAAAAAAGAAGATAAAAATTCATAAAATTGGAAGGATACAAAGAAGATTAGCATGGCCCCTACGCAAGGATGACACTCATAAATCGAGAAATGGTGCAAAATTTTTAAACAAAAAAAAAGCTGTTAACCTATTTGGAGTCTATACCGAGCATCACTAAATGAGGCGTCTCACACGCCTACTTGTCATTTCCACTTTTAGAAGCTGATGCGAGTGGACTTGCTGACACTCTTTGTTTTCTGGGAGATTTCCCTGCATATACCTGCTGAATTTGCAATGGCCAGAATGTCGCTGTCAGAATGTGTCTGACCATTTGCGCTCTTGGTGCCGATCATCCAACAAGCCATGTGCACGTCCAGGAATATTCTGACAGGTGCATTCTGGGCATCAATCCAGTGGGACCTATGTAGGTAATGCTCCCTTTTTTCTGCGTTGCAGGTTCATTTGGCACAGGAAATTCAAGCACGTGTGATCGAACTACAGTCACAAGCAGCAGAGTTGCAGGTATATTGTAAGGATCTGGTTTAGAGATGGTCTGGTAGCGATTGAAGAACAGTGAGTCGTCAAGAAGTTGACAACAAGAGTGAGATACATTGAATGAAAAAGTTGCACTCCGCCTATCAAAGGTGATGACGAGACCATAGTTCATCAATTAAAAGTTTAAACGTCAAGAATGCCCAACCTAAGAAGCTCTCATAGTGGTACAAAATGCTCAATGCACAATGAGTGACAACCGGCAGATTATTAGGAATGTCGTCAAATGGCAGCACAAAAGAAAAAGACTAGGAAGAGTAGGAAAAGGCCAAAACAATCAATTTGAACAATGTCGTCTCTCTCTCTTCTCTGCCTTCTACGTCTGGGCTCCTTTCATTTCCAATTGCCACCTCCACAGTCATCATCTCTAAAGTGATTAAGCCGCTCTGTCCTAACCCCACGCCTTGCCAATGTGCAAGTAGCTCTCCATCTCTTTTGCGCTGGCTTCCCAAACCCGAGGCTATGAAGAGCAAAACCGGAGAAGTCGATGATGGCCTTCAGAAGCGAAGTGCATCCTTTCTCACAAAGTCTTCTCTCTCTCTCTCTCTCTCTCTCTCTCTCTCTCTCTCTCTCTCTCTCTCTCTCTCTCTCTCTCTC